CAGTGTTTAGTCATCAATATACACTTCAGTCAATGTTTGCAATGAGGCCATTGGATGCATAGGGAGTATAACATATCTGCTTGGTTCTTCAGTTTTTCATTATGTACTGTGTAAATTCATCTCAGTCTTTTTGGCTGGTTATCTGATAATCCTGGAACACACCTGCTTGAGGTGCTGGAATACCCACTGCAGGCTCCTTGCTGCCTTCCAATATGTCTTGAAAGTTACACAACACAGGATCCAGAAAGTGCGCTTCTACTGCCCTCCTACTGACCCTGTTAAATGGTCTGTGAAAATATGGTTGAAGTAAATTATAGAGAAGATTAAGATAAATTGAGGGAATTCTGATTTTAAGGCGGTTGCAGTATTTACTTGTTAGCATTAGTAACTTACTGATTGCTTTCACCTGTTGCTTGCATTTGTCTTTTGAGGCAAAGGCCAATATGCATAGATTTGGCAGCCAATAAGAAACCAACAATTGCTAATTTAATTACAGTACACCAAAATCTTGTTGCTATGGGTTAACACAGTTTCTAACTTGCTGTAGCTGTTTGCACTGTTTTATTGAACAAGAAATACTGTATTTATCATTTTAGCTTATATGGAGTCTGGAAAATCACTCATACCCTAATCTGCCACTTCAACATACAAATATTAATTTCCCATGTTGTTTTCTCCATTATAGAAATAAATTAGTTATGTCTTCATAGTTCATTAAAATATGCAAATACCCAGGATCATATCCATCAATGAGCAATGTAAACCACTGAGACTAACATTAGCCTTTCTGAAATAGGTCATATGGGAAAACCCTAGCAGACTTAGTGTAACAAAATTATGGGCTACTGGTATATGTTTTATATAAGCATACATTTTTTAATTCCCCCAACATTCCTGGGAGCAGTCTGAAAGATTGGCATTGGGTTATAACACACACAAGATCTCTATCTCTCTGTTTTATTTTTATCTGCCGATTGATCAGTAAACAATAGCTTATTTTTTGCACAGGATAAAAGATTTTGTCATGGCAGCTGGTTTTGAGTAGCTACTTGCCCACAGGACAAATGCATTTACAAACCTTGGGAAGCGGTTTCTCCATCTTACTGGAGTTTATTTTTCCGACTCAACCTTTCAAATAACGTGATCCAAATCTTTACCGTTTGTTTACTGTAATTACTGCTAAAATACTGACTTTTTCCTATGGGGTTTCTTTTTCTAACGTTCCAGTATTAAACTTTTCAGTCTTTCCTAACTGCTATCGCTGGTAATTTAGATATGGGTAGACGTATTGGCTGCTGAATTGCTTATTCCAGGTCAGCATTAAAAAGTAACGTCTAAGAATCGCTTATTAATGTAGTTTAAGCTGTAATTGAAATGTTGTCAATATGCAGGTTGTTTTCATGGTTACATTCTTATTTCAGGATAGTCAAAGAGCCTTTATAAATAAAAGTGTCTAAAGGAAGTACATTTCTCATTTCTAACTGTAACCTGCAGTAATCGCGCTTTCAGTTCGCAGTAGTGCTTTGAGGTTGGTTCCTTTAAACATTGTTAAATTTAAAGGAGAATTATGGAATGAGTGAAATACACTCATCCCAATAGTTAGAGCCAAGATGTGGCACTGAAGCTGTCTACGGCCAGATCCTTCGGCAGCTTTGTGAATAGACCCCATAGTCTCTATTGATCGAGAACTGAGCAATCACATACCGCTGATCACTTAGTTCCCGATCTTATCCCTGCAGAGAGTGGTGACTGTCAGTCACCCTCCCCGCAAAGATTACTCTCTTCTCTCTCTCCTTTCCTCCAGTGCTGACTGAAGGGACAGACAGGAGGGGGCAGGCACAGTCAGCTCTGCCTATGGAAAGGCAGAGCCAATTGTTATTTAAGTAGCAGTGCAGCTCTGCACTGTCAGCATATAGCAGGCAATAGCCCGCTATGTGCTGAGTTTTGGGTCAGAGGAATACATTAGTAAATTTTACCCCTGTGACCCTAAAGAAAACTACAGCCAAAAAAGGTTTGGCCATAGTTCTCTTTAAGGTTCTATTCTCTAATATTTCTGTTATTATTTATTTTTTTTAATCTCAATTTTTTACCTATTTTTCATTTCCCCAGCTATACGGACCAAAACATTTTTGTTCTTCTCACCGTAGTTTTAAAATAGGTAATTTAAATTGGCATTATTGTTTTAAAGAAAATCTGCTGAACAGTTCCAACCTAGCCAAGCCAAGACTTTGGTCCTCATAGGCATTGAGCTGTTCTATCCCTAGGAATGTTTTTTTTTATTATTATTATTTTGTGGAACATCACTTCTGATAAATGGTAACAGCTGCATGCAGAAAGTTGTTCTCCACAATCATGGAAAAACTGGATTCTTGTTGGGGCACGAGGCTCTCTCAAAAGGGTTCCTAGTGATAATGTTTTTAAATGTATCTCGATCAAAATGTCAAGGTCTGCAGCATGGACAGAAATTATCCATAATAACAAGCTTCAATGGCCAATTTGGAAAAGCCTACATGTCAGTGGGACTCAGTGGTCTTAACGGAAGAGGGGTTCAGCTCTTTCTAAATGTTTTCTTCCTTCTATAGGCACTGTGTCATCAAGTGCCTGATGGGAAAACAAGCCCAAACCAAGCTACATAACTGAGTTAAATGTTCTTCTCCACTGGTTATAATGGTCAGCTTTTATTCATTTGTCCATTGTTTACTTTCTTTGGAAAACTTCATGTCAATCTAAAACCTTTTCCACAGGCTGACAACACTGCAGTCATTTCACTGCACTGCAGAACAAAGAGTGTGTCACCCTGATAGAGAAAATCCTGGCAGTTAGTACAAAAAAAAAACTGTTTCATGCACAATACATTATCATAATATGGCACAACTAAAAATATGAAGACTAGCTTGCACAAGAAATACAATATTATAAAATTACTATTATTAAACTTTTGTTCTTTTCACTGAAAGGTTTTCTCACCGCACAACTCTCATACTTTGTAAATCATTAGTCATCTATACTGTACTGAGTGCTTTCTATACATTGAGTGTTAAGGCTGCAGAAAAGGTGATTGAGGACTCTGTGTCCTCAATTTCTTTTTCTAGTTCAAAAAGGAAATGTCAGGGGTCACAGTGATTGCTTTTTTTACTTTCAAAATAACATTAATTTAACTGTGGCATTGCATGACAAAGCGTTGTGACGCATTGTCATGCGTTGTGATATGCTATGTTGTGATTAAATGTACACCTGTATCATTTTATCACAACACACACACCAACACATTGCACAAACGATTTTTTTCTTTAAGACACAGGTCCCCTTCACCAGAGCAATACTTGTCTCGTGATTGATATGAAAATGAGCGCAATAGATCGGCATTGGTGGAGCAGCGTGGAAATCTTGGTCATTTTGAACCCTATAGTTATTCTCGGCTGCATCCTGATCAGTGCTGGGTGTGTAGTAATCCAGCATTGCCGGGGAAAACAGCATGCAAAGATTGCTTTCAGAAGGCAGCTAATGACAAAACTGCGGATAATTTGCAGGTCTTCTCCCTGATGAAGCAGGTATTTCAAGACTATCTTGGGGACTTTGTCTTCAGTGCAGGAACTTCCCAAATGGAGGTACATTGGGTGAGTGCAGCCACATTCCATCCAAAGGGGCAGGAAGTCAACTCTGAGTCTCTGCAGATAGTTATGCCTCTGAAGCTGAAGAGATTCAAGCGGAAGGTTTAAATTTTGCCTTGGTGCAGCCTTTTGTCACATCGGTGAGACAAGCGTTGCTGTGGGAAGAAATGATCCTTCCAACCTGCTGCCCTGATGCAGAGGTTCTATTGACTCATCTTGATGTGGGGAAATCCTTGCAGACCTACATCAAAGCCACAGCGCCAGTAAGAGCCTCAGATCTCCTGTTCGTGATTCCTGTGGGCCCGCATGGCATGAAAGCATCGAGTAAGACTATCTCTGCCTGGTTGGTGAAGGTGATTGGTGTATGCAGCAAAGGGGTTGGCGGTACCTGAGTCTATGACTGCTCATTCTACCCTGAGTGTTTTAGCTGCTTGGGCAGCCATGAGCCGAGTGTTTCCTGAGATTATCTCTAAGGCGGCCACATGGTCTTCGATCCATAGGTTTATGCGGTACTATCGCATCGAACCTGCTGCATTGTCTACTGTAGAGTTTTGGCATACTGTTATTGCCTCTTCTACTTCTGTGTGTAATTAAATCACTTAGCATTCCATCCCTTGTTTGCAAGTTATTTCCCATGTGTGTGCTGACATGGAGCTGTCAGGGAAACCGGTTAAATTGTATTTCATACTTACCGCAATTTTCCTTTCCTGACTAGCTCCATGGCAGCACAGTACCCGCCCATTCAGAGTTGCTAGTTATGTAATGCTGGGGGCTGGGTTGGACTCAAATGTATGCGTTATGGGCCTATCAGATCTGGGGAGGCGGAGGCATTGCCTATTTTTGTGTGCTACCATGGAGCTAGTCAGGAAAGGAAAAGTATAACATTTTCCTGTTTTTTACAGGCGCAATTTTAAATTTGCAAGTATTTGTTATTTAATAACTCAATACAGTTTTCTCTTTTAGATTTAGTTGGAAAAGTATTTTTTTGTGCATTTATTCTGATTTTAGTGTGCTTTTATCAATTGAATTGTGTATTTTTATCGTTTTTATATTGATTTGACAAACATTTTTGCAATTATCGCAGGACCTACAAAATTAGCAGCACCATCTTTTTATTCTACCGGACCTGTGCTTTCAGAAAATATATGGTTTAGGGGTCTTTTCCAAAAGCTAGCAATGCAGCAATAGAAAACCAAAACAATGGGAAAAATGGTGTGGCCAACTGAGGTTAAAAGCATTCCCGGAGGGCTTGGCAGCGAAAAGGTTAAATTTATAACCTTGGCATGTCTTGAATTGATATGCAACTTTTCTTTTATTTACACTGTAGTATATAAATCAAGTGTAATAAATGCATCACATTGTGTATAATATCTTTGTTATATATTTAAGGTTTAGAATCATGGAGTCAGAATGAATTATCCTTGGAGACATTAGCAAGAAGCAAGGAGCTTACATATGAGTGGCTCCATACACAGTGTGTAGATGTAGAATCAACCCATTCTACAACACCTAAATGGTAAGGACCTTCTTGATATCTTATTCTTGTTTGTTTTCTATAAAATTTAAACCTACCTCCGCACTGCAACGGTTGACTGTTAATTTTTGTGTACGTTTTTAAAAAAAAGTTATACTTGAACCGAGGAGCCGGCTTGCTCTTTGATTGGTCCCTGGAGCCTCACTCCCTCTCCTCCTCCCCCATAAATCATCACGTTCTATACACAGTGTATGAACGTGGGTGCGCTGAGGAACATTCCAATTCTGTAGCAAAGGAAGAGAGAGGCTGGAGGGAGCGCTGTGACAGCTAGCTGACTCGGACCTTCGGGTGAGTTTGAACCTGGAGTTCTTTAAGTGAGATTGCTGATGTATTATATGGAGACTCTCTGACAGCAGACTTCTGTAGGGCAGTCCTGGAAATCGTTATAGAAATAAATGACAACTGAAGTTACCCAGGTGTATGTATTTCGATATAGGTACCTTGTACAGGAGGTGCTGTCTTCACAAGATTAAATGTAAGTCTATTTAAGGCACACAGTGCCATGTGAGCCTATTGGGTTTATAAAGCCACATGGTGAATGCCTATCAAGGTGTACAATAACCAGTGTCCCTGCTTTGTTTAAGTTGTTTTTTTGTTTTTTTTTTACTCAAAGAGCCAACACTGTGAGGCTTATTATAAGCCTATTATCAACTTGCAAAGAAGCAGTAGAAGGCAAGCAGACATGCTGTGCAGGGTAAATGAGCCATTGGAATGTGTGCTGGTTAAAAAAAGTCCTGTAGCCTAACGGGACTATAGTAGTAGGTTACTCTGCTAAGCTTGCAATCTAATATTGCTGAATACATTCAGCCTAATGTAATATAGTGCTGCAAGCAGGACTGAAATTTTGACTTTGCTGAATACTAGACATGTAAATTTTGTTTTGTTCTGATTCGTATGAATTTCGTTAAATTCGGATGCATCCGAATTTCTGAATTTGAATGAGTCTGAATACGAACGCATCGGAATGTTCCTTTAACAAAAATTCAGATCCATCCGAATTTTGTTCAAAACTAAAGCGGACATGTGACTGTTCTCTGGCCAATCAGATAGGGTTTTTTGAGTCGTTGGGGGTTGCTTTACAAGGTCATGTGACTTTGTTCCAAAATTAAAACTGGGACGGATCTGAAATCTGAATAAGCCAAATCAAATTTCGGATCCAAACAATGATAGAAATAAAAATCCAAATTGATCCAAAACTAAACTTGTTTTTTGCAGAGTTGTCAAGAAAGTGTGGGCTCATTATTTACTTTTTGGAAAGGCACCCTCCCAATGGTATGATGCAGGGAGGGGGGCGCTCGCTTGTCCCCTGCCTCCCGTTCCTGCCCTGCCAGGCCTGTGCTCAGATAAGGGGTCTGGTTGGGAATCTTCAGGGACCCCACGTTTTTAATTTCTGTTTTTTGGGGGTGGTGTTCCCCCTTAAAATTCCTACTAGACCTAAAGGGGCTGGTTTTACTTTTGTGGGGAACCCTGCACATTTTTTTTATTTTTAACTCAGGGTCCCTCCTAACTTTCCTACCCGACCTAAAGTGTCTGATATGGATTGGGAGGGGGACCCCGCTCCATTTTTTAAATATTTGTTTACAATTTGCAAAGAGAACGGTCTGCTTTAGCAGATTGTTCTCCCCACTTCAGCGGTGTCTGAGCTCAAGTGAGCCAAAACATATGCATTTGGCTATGCTGAGCTGTTCGGCTGCTGTACAGGCTATTGTGAATTGAGCCAAAGGATCAGCCGAAGCTACTGCTATATCCTTCAGCTCCTTTGTGAATAACCCCCCTTAGTATCAAAAGCCCATGTAAATTAAGAAATGAACCCCTTAGTGCCTCCTAGTTTAAAAAAAGTTTTAACCATTTTTTTTTAAATTTTAAACATTTTTAACAATTTTAAAAAAGGCAAAACATTTTTTAAAAACCTAAAAAAAATGTTTAATAAAATAATAAGAAAATATAGTGCATAGGAGGCTATCAAAGTTAGGAAACAAACATACCATATTCTACAATTGTTCCACACTAAAATTGTATATCACTCCTTGTATATTGTGACCTATATCTCCCAAAATGAACTGAAATTCCAGACATATGATATACCCTATAAATAAGGACAAATAAAATAGTTTATTATGAATTACTTTCTGTTAGCTACACTAATTATGCACACATTAATATTGCCAAAACTGAGAAAAAAATATTTTTTTCAATTTCTTTGTATTTATTTTTGTATTTATTATTAAAAAAAATAAGAATTTATATAGGCATATCTCACATTAAATTGAAGCCCATTTTGCCCTTTAAAAAAACGGAATATAACATGTGTAGGTACAATCAATGAGGAAGATGGAAATGATGGTGAAACAAACGCATAGCAAAAATGACAAAATTGCTCTGAACCCTCGAACTAAAAAATGTTCTGAAGCTTGATCGGGAGCTGTACGGGCTATTGTGAATAGCCCGTACAGCACCCCCTCGGTTCTCCTGAACCGAAGGGGTCCTGGGGCCGAAGCCAGCCGAAGGATCGGCCGAAGCTACGGCCAGATCCTTCGGCAGCTTTGTGAATAGACCCCTTAGGGTTTAATGAGGAGCTGAAACCAGTAATGAGAATTTGACATCACTGAGTGTGCAGATTTTTTGTAATTAGAAGCTGCGAACAGGGATGCTAATTTGGCATGGCTTACCACAGACAGCATTAAATAATAAGGTGCTTCAAACAGGAATGATAACTTTTAGTACGTTAAGTAAACTAAAAAAAAAACCATAGTAAATAATCACATTTCACCTTTTATCAGATTCGATTTTTTTTCACTGTGGAAACAGTTGAAAGTGGTGACTGCTGTGGCTTGCTGGACTTTTCCATGTTGAACAAGGGGCTAGGTTTCTATCCACTGTTCCATGAGTTTTAGTAAAATATCACATAATATATTATTACAGTGTTTTTCTATCCATGCTAGTGGTGTTTTTATTTCATGCATTTACCATCTATGATGATGCTTTCATTTTACCACAGACCACATCTAGACCACAGCTCCAACTGGCCAGTTGCATTCTTTATGGATAGAAACAAGTACAGTTTGTGTTAAAATATAGGCATGAAAATATGTGGTTTGTCATATTGGTCTACTAAACCAGCTTTCTGTTTTGTGCTCTCCACTTATTGCTTAAAAAGTCACGTTGAAGTATTATATCTTGTGTTTCTTCTGTTACAGTAAGCGTTTCTTGCCCGAATTGAATCATGACGTCTTAAATGGTGGAAGAGTTCAGCTCGTGGTAAGATACTGTACTGTATTTACATGTAAGGGGCATTTTCTGATAATATTTCAGCTGCCAAGTGCTCTGAATACATTTGCATACAATAAGTGGCCATGTGTTACACACACACTGTAGAACTGTCAGCCGCGATGATATAGATAACGTATGGCAAACGTTAAATAATAGGTCTGTAATTGTATCAAGGTGTTTCTTTGCAAGCTATATAGTTCAGCAAGTCACATGGTTTATATAAAAAACCAGAACTCCATTGTGCAATTTACATGCTTGTTATTCATGGTTTCATAGTCATTATTAGTTATTACAGATAGAAAACTGTTTGTGATTTATATGTGCCAAGAAATCATCATACATCATTCTGTTGAGGCACATTTTTTTTAAACTGTGTTTGTATTTGCACCTTTTGAAAACTGAAAAGCTGGAAGCATATCGTTCACCAATGAATATGTTTGTACATATCTATTAATTCAAACTGAAATGTAATAGTAAGCAATGAGGATCAAATGTTGTGATATGATTTGTCTATCATATACACTAAGAAGCATGTTTTCTATTATTTTTTTCATTTTTTTTTGCTGCACAGAGTAATAGTTTGAGGCAGGCACTCAACCTGTTGCCACTTGTACTAAAAATTTGTGTGATGTTGGTATATAAACATGTAGCATGTAGTAGCGATCAATAAGGGCAGCGCGTGGTCAGGACACGTGGAAGGAGTTTGCACATTCTCGCTGTGGTTGCATGGGTTTCCTCCAGGTACTCTGGTTTCCTCCCACACTCCAAAGACATGCTGGTAGGTTAATTGGCTCCTGTCTAAACTGACCCTGTATGCCTGTGCAATAGGGACCTTAGAGTGTAAGCTCCTTGAGGGCAGGAACTGATGTAAAGCGCTGCATAAATGGTTGGCACTAGAAATAAATGACCGCACAGTGCTCCATTCTTATGCGATTGTTTACTACAGAATACCATTATATGTGTAGGTTATGCCATAGGGAGCCGTTTTATTCATTTGCTTAGCTACAATCAATTGCAAAATCTAACAAATAATCACTAGCGATTTTAATAGCAGGACTGAGTTACTAAAAAAAATCTCCTGCCTACCTGAAATGTAATGTGGTGACTACCATCAAGTGGTTAAATCTCAGTAGCAAGAGATTAAAATTGCTCTTGTAGCTTAGCCTTATGCAGTCAAAATTTGAATTTGCTGTAATTAGTATATTTTCTGTTATTGCGATTTTAAATTTGGTTTTAAATTATGTTGAGAAACAGTGACAATCGTCAACTTAAAAGAGGTTATTATGCATTAAGCAAAAGGAACTGGTCAGCAGATAGCTTAGCTCAGCAAGTTGCTCTACTGTATATTAGTGTGTGTGTTGGCTAAATGATTTTCCACATTTAATTTTTTTTTAAGTAAACCCATTTTGTTTATTATATTTGACTGCCTTTAGGCTAACACGTTGAGTAGGGAAGCTGATGATTTAGACCTGGTTTCTGTAAAGTCTGGAAGTACCTTATCTCAGTACAGAGGAAGGAATTTGGAAATTCAGAGAAACACATCACCCCCCCCCTCATCAGCATCAAGTAAGTAATGAATAATGATAATCAAATGTTTTAGGATATGTTACATGCATATTTTTGAGAATAAGATGAGATTGGAGGGCAATCTCTTGCACAAACTGTGCCCTTTGCATGACTGTAATGTTGTTACCACTGCTGATATGATGTGTTGTTCTTCATATGACAGATGCTAAGATATAGTAAATATAAGTAATTCACCGGCACACACTTGAAGAGTTTTTAAAGTATTGATATGTTTATCCAATACCGCTCACTGCCGCTCTGATGAAGGATCCCTGTGCGGACCCAAAACGTTAGCACCGTATGACAGTATGTGACATTGGGTATTGGATAAACATATCAATACTTTAAAAACCCTTCAAGTGTGTGCCGGTGAATTACTTTTATTTACTATTAGTGTTTTGCACGGCGCCATCCGTGTGGTCACCTGGGCACCACATATACCTTGTGGTTTTGAGACCGTGGCAGTGCGAATGGGATTTGGACTTTGTTGAGATGCTAAGATATAACATGTACCTGGGTAATGAAAAAAATTTGAGTGCCGCACACGAGAGGAGGGATTTGGCAGGACGTCTTAAGACGCCCTCCCGCTCCTAGCAGACTTCCGTCCGGCCGTTCACATACGGCCATGGACGTAAGGTGGTTAAGCAATCAGATTACTTGATAATGTATTTTTTTTAGTATTTCATCTATCCATCTGCTGCCCAGCCGACGGCTGAACTGTGGCTTTTGAATGTGGGCGTTTTTAAACATTCTTTCCTGCCCCACTCATGGCTAGCTGGCGCGCATGACCAGGCAATCTGCTTGAAATGTAAACAGCCAGCGATGGCTGTTTACATGCCTGCGTTACGGCGGCTATAGAGATGCTGATCACTTGTATTATGCGTGCGGGTGTGCGCCCCGCCCTCTGCCGCCGCCGTTCCCAAGCTCCGCTGTGCCCGGTGCGGGCCTGGGACCAGCACAGCGGCTCTGTCACAGGAGATCAGAGGGAGATCAGTGCACGATCTCCCTCTGATCTTCTTTCCGTACTCTGAATGCAGGAAGTGATTACATTACATCACTTCCGCATTCAGCTGTCATTCCCGGCTACAGAAGCCAGGGAGAAGCTGATGAACCAGATATCTGCTTCATCAGCTTCTCTGGGGGATCCCTAGGTGATATTAGGGGTCTTAAAGATCCCTGATGTCTCCATGAAGAGAACCTGTCACTGTAAATTGTCTATCACATAGGGGAGCTTGATAGCCCCCTATGTGATAGCAATAAAGTTACCATATATACTCGAGTATAAGCCGAGATTTTCAACCCATTTTTTTTGCTAAAAAGTGCCCCCCTCGGCTTATACTCGAGTCAGCGTCTCGAGCTGGTCAGGTTTCTTCCTACTTACCTCGCTTACCAGTAGCTGCCTCATTTCCCACCCTCGGCTTATATTCGAGTCAATACTTTTTCCCAGTTTTTTGTGGTAAAATTAGGTACCTCGGCTTATATTCGGGACGGCTTATACTCGAGTATATACGGTAAGTTAAAAAAAAAGGTAAAAAAAATTAGTTACAAAAAAATTAAGTCACATATAAAAACAATTTTAAAAATGTTAAAGTCCCCCGCCCCCACATACACATGCAAACATACTTCGGGCGCACCTATGTGCAAAAACAACAATTAGCGCCTATTGCGCTGCACATGTTACATATCACTGCGAACATTGGAGTGCAAGCAATAATTCTCGGGCCATCAATCACTGATAACACTAAACTGATGAGTGGTAAAAGCTTTTTAAGCGTCGCCTATGGCCAATTTTAGGCATGGTAGTTTTTTGCAATTTCATGCTGCAGCGCTGAATACTGAAAAATGGCCTGGACAGGAAGGGGGTGTAAACACCCAGGTCAGCAAGTAGGTAAAAAGCCTCAGAGGTAAGTTCTATACTTAAGCTGGGTGTAGACTAGTAGATTTTCTTTCATTGAGCTTTTGGACTTACCAAAAAAATCTAACAAATTCCCCCATCCAATCTAAAAAGTTTGAATGGAGGAATCTCCCACTGCCAGCTATTGTATTTTTAAAACCAGCCCCGCTGGCTGTCAAAATACCTGAACAGAGTCTGCAGGCCCTGTTCGGCTGTCATTTTTCTGCCTGGCTCCTTTGATTTTTTCAATTAAAGGATCTTAGGCAGAAGGTGGCAGACAGGGCCAACTACTGAGCCAATTTTAGACCGGTTCATCAAGAACCGTCCAAAATTTGCTCAGTTTGTAGCCAGCTTTATAGTTATAGATTAAAATTTACTTGGTACAAGGTTAACCTAATGTCCCCAATATCCCATCATATCTCTAATCTAGTCTAAAAAACTAGGCTGTAACATCCCACAGATAATATTTTCACTAAAAAGTGAAGCAGTATTTAGGCATAAATATACCCAAGGATGATGTACAAAATAAAGAGTCAAATTAAACACTTACATGCCCAAAACACTAGCAGAAACCCTCATTCTCTGCTAATAAAATGCTTGTCAACATTTCTTGCCCTCCGGTGGCAATCTAGACCCCTTCACTTGTACAGGCAAACAGACATAACTAAACTGAGAGTACTGACTTGAAAGTATCAAGTGGTAAATGTGACTTGCTCCAATGTTAAAGGAGAACTATTAGGTGAGTGCTTTTCACTCACCTCATAGTTCTAGCCGACCTGTAACAATGAAACTTTCACAGATCGGCTCAGTAGATCGGGAAGTGAGTGAACACATACCGGTGTTCGCTCACTTCTCGATCCTGTCACGGCTCTCTGCCGTGACAGGGGAGGGACTGGATTCCCCCTCCCCGCTTCGATCCTCCAGCGCTGACTGGCAGAACGGACGGGGGAGGGGGAGGGTACAGCTGGCTCTGCCTCCAGATAGGCAGAGCCAGCTGTCACTCACGCAGCTGGGCGGATCCAGACATAATTGTCGGGATCTGCTTAAGCTGCGGCATCTCAGTATACCGCGAGCTGTAGCTCGCGGTATACTGAGCTTAGGGTGATGGGAGGACGCTAGTTTGTGTCCTCCCGTTACCCTAATGAGAACTATGGGGAAAAGCCCTAACCCCATAGTTCTCCTTTAACCAGTTGACATTTTGCGTGCTGGTGCATCGGACGCGTATTTACGTTTATATCTGCGTAAACGTGGGGGTGGGGGAGTTAAACATTTGGGGGGGGGTTTACTTTTTTTATATGTGATTTTTATTTTATTCTACTTTTTTATATGTGACTTTTATTTTTTATAACACCCGGTAACGGGTGTTTGCATTGGTCGGGTCTTTCCTGGCCGTGCGCGCCCGCGCAGAAAAAAAATGCCGTCTGGAGACGGCAACCCACCAATGCTGCAGTGTCGTCCGTCCGTTTTTTTACAACGGGCGGACGGCAAGTGGTTAAAGTGACACTAAACTTCAGAGTTAAATCTTAAAAAATGCATTTAACTACCTCACCTGATAACAAATTTGTAACTTATTTGTTTATCACTCGGCTGTAGATACTCAAATCATCTCTGAATTGGTGCTAATACTGTCCTTCCTTCTGGAGGGTGGCTACTTTTGTTCCCCATGGTCCCTGTGTGTGTTGTAAAGTAGTCACCACTCCAAGCACGCTCCTGTGATAAACTGCAATTTCACGTTTAGTTTACTCATTCGTATTGAGATTGTAGTTCATCACGGGAGCAAGCTTGTAGCGGTGCTTACTGTACAAATTAAAGAGTTGCAGTCTGATCGCCAGAGAGAGGAAACAAAGAAAATGCTTCCTCCTGGCTATAACAGACAGATGGCAAGATCTCATTCGAATTAGAGTCACAGGACTGGAGCACAAGTCCAGCTTTTTGCGTCCAAAAAACTGAAAAGCAGAACCTGTAAAATAACATGCAGATCTCTATTCTGTTACAGAGCTACCGCTGCCGGCAGAATCATCTGTATCCAACACTATCAGGAGTGTCATATGCATGCCTTCCCTCTGCACTGGGTGGTTCCTCTCACTTACCCATCACTACAGGACACAATATTGACCTAGTGGCTGGCAAAAGGAACCATAGTATTCAGAGGCGGGCATCTAACACATTTGTGGAGGGTGGGTGCATAGCTACAGTGCTACTGTGCAAAATCCAATAATGAAGAGAACCAACACACTAAGTAGATCTACTTCTTACTGTGCTGTTTTTTTGTTCAATATTAGAAATGTATTCATGTCGGCTTGTTATTGCTATGTTTTCTTTTGCAATGGCTTAATAATTAAGGCTGCATTTAATTAAAATACTTACATGTTTGTCCTTTTACACTTTAGACCGAAATGCATTTACTCCAGTGAAAACTAATTCAGGACCCCAACGAAAGGAACGCATCTCATTTCGAGATAATCCAGTTCTACTCAGTGGAGGATGGGGTGGAGGAAAAAAGAAGGGAAAATCATTTAAATGAAATGCTGCTATTGTCTATTCCCTTTCCCTAAAAGAACGTATGGTGTATTTCTAGTGAACACAAATAGGGGTCTATTCTGACCGATCAGAAGTGAAGTGAGCCGAACACTGTTCGGCTATTCACTTCAGGCTGGTACGGCTGATTTCATCCGTGATCAGGAGCTGTACGGGCTATTGTGAATCGAAGGGGTCCTGGGGCCGAAGCTAGCCGAAGGATCGGCCGAAGCTACGGCCAGATGCTTCGGCAGCTTTGTGAATAGACCCCATAGTGTTTGGAATAATTATTACTGTTGTAAACTAAAGTAAATGTCTTTGTGAATTTCAAACTTTTGAATGCTTGTTTCTGCATGCGTTTGTCATTCTATTAAATACTGATATTTGCATTTATTACAAATGGAGTAAAACAATTACATTTGCAAAAAAAATTTAGTTGAATAAATATGAAATATTGAAAATAAATATTACATTATTTTACCTAATGAATAGATACACTATTGCAGGCAGTAGAGTGTCATTGTGAGTCTCTTACACCTGGGTTACATATTGCTGATATACTGCTTTGCCTGATATACAGGCTAATATATCAGGATCTCGATTACACACACACAATGTACACTTACACGTAAATGTATTCGCAATGCAAGCTCAACAATCCCATCGTATTCTCACCGCATTTACTTTGTCACCTTATTTACCAACATTTACCTCTTAAGTAAACAGCCTCTATTCCTTCAGTGAATCAACCCTAATTGTTATCTGTGGAAGCCACTGGGGTTGATTTAAAGTAGAACTGCAGCCAAAACTTGTTTTTCAACACTGTTATAACCCATGTCAGCTTTTTTTGCCATCTGTGTCCCATTGTTGAGATTTCCCTTCAAATTCCTTGCAATAGCCAATCACAACAGAAAGTGAGAGGAAATCTCTCCAAAGTGAGGGAAATCCCCCGTGGTCAGAAGGATCATCCCAGTGGCCCCATTGGAAGATTTTCCAACTATTCATATTCTGGTGACAATCCAATATGTGGAATTTCCTTTCACTTTAAATTATATTAGTCACCAGGACGAATAAAGATGGTGAATCTCCGGGCGTGTTTAGACATCCTTCGTGCCTGCGCCCGCTCGCGCGTGCCCCCTGGGGAATTCTGGCGGGAAACCAAAAGAATTTTAAACGGCCAGCGATGGCCATTTGCAGGCCATGATGCAAGTGTCTGTGGGCGCCCACCTTACCTCTTCCTGTGGTCGCTGTCCCCGCGATCCCAGGTGTCTGATCCGGGACCGGCAGTGTGGCTCCGTGCACGAGAGAACGGAGGGAGATCAGTACACGATCTCCCTCCGCTCTCCTCCCCGGTCTCTAAATGCAAGATGTGATGTTTACTACATCACTTCCGCATTCCTCTGTCACTCTCCTGTACAGAAACCAGAGAGAAGCTGATAAAGCAGATCTGTGCTTCATCAGCTTCTCTGGGGGTCCCCAGGTGACATTAGGGGTCTTAGAGACCCCTGATGTCTCCATAAAGGGGACCTGTCAGTGTAATTTGATATCAAATAGGGGAATTCTGATCCCCTATGTGATAACAATAAAGTTGTTAAAAAAAAATTGCTCACTAAATAAAATTTCCACACACAAAAAATCCCCACAATTGTTTTTTAAAAGTCTCCCACCCCCACATAGATGCACACAAATGCATTAGATGCGCCTACACCCAAAAACGACGATTGCGCCAATTACGCCGCACATGTTACATATCGCCGCGAACGTCGAAGTGAGAGCAACAATTCTAGAGCCATCAATCACTGATAACATTAAACTAATGAGCGGTAAAATCTTTTTAAGCGTCACCTATGACCAATTTTGGCTATGGTAGTTTTTTGCGATTTCGCGGGCGCACCCATTTTGAAGGCTTCACATGTTTGGTGTCTATTTACCCGATGTGACCCCGTCTTTTACATTTTACCAAAAAATTGAGTAATAATACATTTTTATTAACATTATAAAGGGAAAACTGTTTTTTTGTTGATATTCGGTACTTTTTTTGTTATATAGTAAAAAATAAAACCGCAGTGGTGATTAAATACAACCAAAAGAAAGCTCTATGTCTCCCTAAAAAATGGTATAAATTAATTTCAGTACAACGTTGCATGATGTACCGCAGCGCTGAATACTGAAAAATGGCCTAGACAGGAAGGGGGTGTAAACACCCCGGTCAGCAAGGGTTAAACATGTGTTTACTTTGAATACCCAATCACGTGCAAGAATATAAACAGAATTTTGCTAGCATATCATTGGGTTTTTACCATGAACTCAGCTTCACCTTATGTATTAACATTTACTTTGCTAAGTGGCTTCTACTGATTTAGTAATGCAACTTCACTATACCTCCATTGTTGGGTTCCAGTGTTTAAAATAAGTGTATAAACAAAACTTTTTTCATTGTGGCCACAGCTCTGCTTTAGCTAATCACTGACTAGATATATCACCATAGGACGTTAGATGCACAAAAGACAGCCCAGGAGGTGGCCCCTGCTGGTGGCCAAACCTCTTTCACAGCTGTGGACAACTCCGTTACATTGCATAGCAGTGCAAATAACAAGAACACAAGTATGTACACATACGGACAGGTGTTGTGTCCTCCAATGAATGCAGAGAAAAAGATTTTACAGCGAGTACAGAAAAATCCTATTTTTTTAGTATTGGTTAGAGTAGTGAGGAATTAAAACCCCTGTAAAGTTTTTATTGGTGTATTTCTCCCTGCTAAGTAAATTCACCCTCCTTATTTATCCTGCTGGCCATTGTCACCAAGATGAAAGGGAAGGGAAATCGAAAACACAAGGTGATGGGAAATCTTCCAATGGGACATTTGTTCTGGTGACTTGTGGTCACACTGTTTAAAAGGTGAACTGCCTTTGCTTTGTAAAGATTTCTATACACCTCCAGTTGCGTCTCAAGAACAGGAATTGAAGGGAAGTTTCCCCAACAGAAGTGCATAAACCAAAACAATAAAATACCCTATGTTATCCAAAACGAAAAAAATTATTACTATACATACACTCTAAAACAAGAAAACCAGGTCTCGCTGTTGTTTTTTTCAGTGTAGGGTAGGGACCCCTCTGCTTTTGTTGAAAATCCTATGTAAAGTTCCTTTCATTTTAGTTAGTAAGTTGTAGGGCACAAACATCTGCCTATTAGATTTTTCCTTAGCTCCTCTCTGGAAAAAACACTACTTCCTAATAAACATTGTGTGCTGCTTTTTGTGTCCAAATGTTCAGTGGTATTTAGAGACTTGAAGATTGTTTTTGGCTAAGGTAATGAATTGTAGGATCGGAATAAACAACTTTGTAATCATTTAAAACATTTACTTCCATGTTTGTTCAAAATATTTACACATTTTTCATTCTGTGGACAGCTTTAAATTGACTTACTCTCCTTTGAGATCTCTAAGGCCAGTGCTGGACAGAAAATCTTTTTTCCCTTGACTAACAAAGCCTACTCTTACATTAAGCACGCCATCTGCTTCCTGCCAAGTTGCATTTTTGGTTATGCTACCAGCGTACACTGAGGCGCATTTATCAAGAAACATTCTTTTTAGCACGCCTTTTAGGGGTGACGCCATGAGACTATTTATACATTTGTACATAATAACAAAGTTGTATAGCAAACATTTGGATATGATCAGTCAGAACAACCTCAGTATGTAACGGATGTTACAAATTAAAAGGTAAAAAAATGTTTCACAAATTGTTAAACCCGGTTTATATAAACTAAATGAAAAGACATTGAACTATAAATGATTGAATCGCTATATTAAAGACAACATATGGTGGCTTGTTCATATTTTTGAGATTTATTATGATTAGGCCTTTAAAAAATGCATTTTTTTTAAAAATGTTTAGATTAAGTCAATATTACTTATAGCATATTCAAATTTTAAATTCTTCTTTAACATTAGGCTCATTTTCACATATTTACAGCATACCATTTGCTCCTTTGTTGAAAAAAGCCTGTTGTGCTCAATAGCTCAAGCTGAAATGTATGCTCAGAAGTACATGACTCTGTCTGAACTTTCAGTGTAAGAGAGCATAGTGGCAGACAGGCACCGCTGTGCTGCCTTGTTAGCCAACGTAGAGTGGGACTCCTTGTATCATGTATGATCTGTTCATTTAAAAAACAAAAAGACAGCCCAGGCAGTCTCCCTGTACTCCCTCGCCTTTCTTAACACACGCACTTCTACCTCATTGACCCAGTACTCACTTCCCATCCAGTCTACTATACAGGCCTGGCGGGTAGCCATGCATACCAGACCCCCCTCTGACCAGCTAGTCACTCCTCCAATCTCACTTTCAGCTCTGCACTCCTTATCCCGGACTTCCCACACGCTAGCACTCCTTATCCCGGACTTCCCACACGAACAGTGGTCCAAAAAGGGAATCAGATGGATCCAGGACCTGTTACAAAACTTCCGTATGCAACCTTTCCCGCACCTTCTCTCACGATACGGGTTAACGGAGCGAGATTACTACAGGTAAGCTCGATCAGTGTTTCTGTGCATGAAACCTATCAAACTCTAAACCTGCACTACGATCTCGAGAGACTACATGCGATCAAAAGTAGTACCCTACCCTCATTCCACAAAAAGTGGAAAGTGTCTTAGGGTGGACCCCTAAGACATAATGATGTGTGAATCTTCCTCTTCTTATTTCTGCTTTGCCTTCTCTGTCTTTTTCTTTATTCTCTTTCCGATCTCTCTTATTAAAGCCAATTATGACTGATACAAAGCGATGACCTACTGTGATGTTGATTACTGTTGTTGCGAATGTAACACCTCTTGCTTAGCACTACTGAGTGCTCATTTTTGTTCGCATTGTTCTGTTGGCACTACTTGTGCTTGCTGTTTCTACAAAACCAAATAAAAATCTATTTTGGAAAAAAAAAGACTGTGTATACAGTATATATGCTTTGCACTAGTTCAGTGGTGGGATTGTTGGTTCTTTTGGGTTCACCTTA